TGCCGAGACAACGAAGACGATGGCTGCAGGTCCGAATTCCCGGTGGTGTCCGTTGACATCGTTTCTCCTCTTCAGTGCTCTGTCCCTTCAATTCTTTCCTCAGAAACCCTAAATCGTTGAAATTCGTATAGCTTTACGCCATAAAAAGAAGGAATCCCGATCCCAAAGTAGAGATTGGATTGCTAGGGTTTCGATCGCAGAGAGGGCAGAGAGACGACGACGGTGGCGGAAATTTCTGATGAGTCGATAAAAGAAACATTTGATTCTTCGAATCTAAAAGATTTATTAATAGTTATTACAGTTAGACCCCTCCCCTCGACAAACAACCAGACTAAAAGGGGGTGTAAAAGCAAAAACCAATACCAGTGAGCTAAACCGTAGATTTCCAATAATTTGGTCCAGAATTCATATTGAGCTCTTTTACAGGCCCTATAATGAAAATACCCCTATTCTCATGCTCAGAAATCATATTCTAACAGCGTCGACCGTTGCAAGGACAGCAAAGAGAGTCCTGAAACAAAAAAAAAACGGCAACCAACTCTTCAGTTCTTGATCTCTTCAAATCCCGATCATGGTTAAGCATTGCGCTGACGCTTTCCACCAAGCACACGATCTGGGCCCAGCCGAAACGGATAATTAGAACAGGACGTAAAAAAATGGTTGCAGAAACCAGACCATGTTCCTGGAGAAGAAGGGAAAAAACGATTTTTCGGAGGCATTTACCTGAAAGCAAGTGTATCCGACTGCATTACCGAAGTAGAAATTCGCATTTCATGACGAAAATCGGGTTACGATAATTCGACGGAAAGTTATTTACTCCCTAGTAACGGTAACCACTTTCTGTGGAATTTAGTATTTTAAAGATGAATTTAACTAGGTAGATAAGAAAATAAGATGGCTATGTTACTTTATTATCCATCACGTATTGCAATATGTACAACATGAAAAAAGAAGAAAAAAATTTACACCCGAAAATGAAACTCGAAATTTAAAAATTTATCTAAAGGACATAAATTAAAATGGAAAATAGATCAGACGATTGACGTAATATTTGATGTTGCAAGTCTTTCCTCAAACGGCCCGTAACTCCCTGGTTTGATCAGATATTTTGGACTTTGAAGGATGGATAATGGGCTGGATCCATTGGGCCTAGTCTGCGTTTGGGCTGAGAATGCAAAATCCATCACGTGAGCTTCCATATAGGTCCACGTGACTTCATGAGTATTGTTTGTACGTCCATCCAAATTGTTCTCCTCTTCAACACTTTCAAATTCTTTAATTGAGTATAGATACGTAAAAGATAAATATTCCTAAATTTTTATGTATAATTAAAAATATTACAAGTATGTTCTGCTTTTTTAAAAAAATATAATTAATTAATTAATAAATTTTAAAAATTTATGTGTGTCAAAAGTCACTCTGGTGTAATAGTTTTTTTTTTGGTATAATCAAGGCTATATATAATTTATATAAATTTATAACATTCTTATTATACTAGATATGATATTAATTCAATGGTACTCAAACACTAAATTTCATCTCATTGATAATTAAATTCACACAATCTCGAGTTGAAATTTTCAAAAATCATTTAATTGATAATATTACAAAAAAAGTTGTGGCAAGAAGACCATATCGATGATAAAAAGAAACAAACGACAAGTTGCATGAAGTAATGTCTCCTACGTACTTCATTTCTTTGTTTCGCTGATAACGTCGTTTTCCCTTAACCCATCTCTTTCTTCTTTTCATTTTTTGTAATTTAAATTATATATATATATATATATATCTATCTATATATATATATATATTCCACACCCACATATATATATATATATATATATATATATAACAACGTGGAAATAACCATAATTATTGTCGAAATCCAGATAATAAAAATCCAATAGAAAACGAGGAAAATGGGCAAAA